TCTGAAGCTTGAACCGTTATGTCATGCTGTAAAACTGAGCCTTTCCCCAAGCTGGGGTCTGTGGGGCAATCCTGGATTTTTGGCTGTTTGTGCCTGGCAGCCAGCCCCATGAAGACCCGTGGAACCTGCCCGTCCCGCGTGGGCCCTTCCAGACACCTCCCTGGCAGCTGCAGAGCTGATAGGAACAGCAAAGCTTCCAGTGTGGATTATCAGGGCCAGCACTGAGGCATTGCTCAATGCATCTGAGCTCTGAGCCTGGCTAACAGCAGCCGAGCAGAAATAGATTGGCAGCTCTGGCAGGAATTGAGATGGGGGCACCTTGGTAAAAAGTGGGGGGATGCGATTCCTCCCGTCGCAGCGCCCGGGACTGAGATGGATTCTCTCTCTGTCATTGTCCTAAGCACATTATCCCTGAAAGAAAGAGGGTTTCTCTGAATCTGCAATTTTTCTAGGCTTCAGTGTTATTGAAATGAAACCGCTTCAAGGATATCTACATTCTTTACCATCATATGGGTTCTCATCTCATGTAAATTATTTGGCCACTTTTCATTTTAATCCTCCACTGTCATTTTCTACAAAAAAGATCATTTGGTTTCTTCATTGAAGGTATTCAGCTGACAGCTGCCCTTTGTCTAGAAGGCAGTGTGCCTCTGCAGGATTTACTTCTGCCTGCTCTTTTTTTCTTCTCTTTTTTCCTTTTAAATTCATATTGCTTCATATTTTTCATCTGTAGTTTTCAGGAACTTTTCAGATGGTGAGCAGGCTGTGGTTTGTAGCTGTGAAGAGAAATTCAGACATCCTGAGTATTTTCTTTGGCCCTTAGCAAAGGTGTGCCTGGCTGATAGGTAGCAAGAGTGGAGGCAGGTAATGAATTTCCTGCTTGCAAGAAGAAATGTAGTAAAAAAATTCAGTGTTTCAAACTCCTACATGACCAAAGCAAAATAGTCAATGATGAAGTTTTTAATTTCTTTCTTTGGCTTCCCTATGTTAAAAACTTATTCTCACCTACTTGCCAACAATGTTGGGAGGCTTTGAATGTTGTGCTTTGTGCCATGGTGTCTCACCCACAAAGCCCATTAGGACCTTGAAATATGCAGTGGGAACAAAATACAAATCTTGGAATGTTTTGGGTTGCAAGGGACCTTTGAAGGTCATCTAGTTCTAACCACCCTGCAGTCAGCAGGGAGATCTAGAGCAGGTTATTTAGACCCCCATCCAACCTAACCTGGAATGGTTGCAGGGATGGGGCATTGATCACCTCTCTGGGCAACCTGGGCCACTGGAATGATTGTGTTGGTAGTGTGTGTGTGTGCAGAGAATTTGGAGGCTTAGGTTGAAAATAAGCTCTTATGATTGAGGTTGTGTGGTTTTGATTACCTGTAGCTATGAGACCTTTTCCTTTTAAGACTGAAAACTCCTGAGTATGATCTCTGATAAAAGCAACTTGTGCTCTGTGAAAGGTTAAAAATGCAATATGATGGTGGAGGAGAATGTTCTCAGGAGAAGTTCAATTTTGGGGAGCACAAGTTGAGTTTTGGACAAGTTTATAGACAGTTTGAGTGTGTGAAAGAAGGAGGAGGCACATCAGTAATGTGGATAAGGAGTAACCCTGTAGGGAGAAAGAGAGGCAGGTTCTAAAATTACTGTGTAAATAAAACTACAGAAAAAAACATACAGAAAAATTACTGTGTAAACAAACCATGGAAACCTTTTAACTACTGCAGTAGTGCCCGTGCAGCTCTCCTCATGTATCTGCATAGCTTGTGATCTCCATGAAAATGTCTTATACCAGGAGAGCTGCCTGAAAACTTCCCAATTTTTGGTGTTTTTCCATTAAACAGCATTTCAGGAGGAAAAGAATTTCAGGTTTTCAAGTGGGAATCACTTTTCTTGTAGAAAGTTTTAGACATTTAGGTAAGAAATTTGTGTTAGAATTTAAGGAAGGTGTTTCAGAATGATGAGAAGTATATTTTGATCCAATCCAATAAAAATGTTTAAAGCTTATTTATTGGTACAATGTGTTATGATAACAATTACTGTTTCAGCAGCAAGTTTTTTTCAAAATCACAAAATAATTGGACTACACAAAGCAAACTTCCTTCTTTGCCAGAAGAGGTTTCTCATTCATTGTCCAGTTCTGAAAGGTAGCTCAGTCACAGGGAGATTTTCTGTTCTCCCAGAGAATTGTAAATTTGAGCCTAAGTTTGGTTACTATTAGAAAACCTGAACTTTTTTTGTTGGAGTCAGCAAAAGTGGCAGTCAGTGGCTTGCTAAAAGGATGATGTTCAGTTAGGTGCCAAGAGAAGGATCACTAGTGGCTCTTGTGGTGTTTCTTCTTCATTAATTGGTGTCCCAGTTTCTTGCATCAACATAAGAATGAGCAGTTCCACTATCCCCCATTTCTTGATTTTACATCTTTTGTCCTGCCTTCCGTAAAGTTAAGCATTGTCTAGCAGTCTTGTGGCCATAGGTCATCTGGATCCATAATCCTGCATCATAGCAGGGTTTCACCTTCTGGTGTTAGAACATCAGCATGTAGATCAACCAGGTTTTCTAATTCATATGATTTCTTTCATAATGTTTGTTCTTGGCTTTTGACAAGTATATATAAACGAGATCATGTTCAGCAAAGGGAGTCCCTAAAGTAGCTGTTACAGCTCCCAAAATTTGCCAAGTTAATTTTTGTACATATAGTGATGACCTGGACTCCTGATGAGGACTCCATATGATATACTTATGTAAATAATAGTAGTGCAGTAGTTTCCAGCTGTGATGTCTTGACATTCCTGTATCTCATGGCACTTGAAAGAGGAAATAGCTCTTGGCTCTGGGCAGGGAGTGGAGTCCTCTGTTTTGTAGGTGGGAGAGCTGAGACACTGTCAGGAGGCAATTGGACTGGGATCCTGAGCTTCTTCTTCCATCACTGCTAGAAAAAACATTTTCTTGTCTGTTTTCCAAGCTCTCTATTCTCAAAAAAAAACCCCTTTGTACAGAACACGACCCCTTTGAACAGAAATTTGCAAGTTGAGCCAGACACATGTATCACTTCAAAGGCCATAGTCATAGAAAGGATGATATATCTGGAACACAAAATAATATACTTTTAAAAATACCATGCCCAGAGACTGGGCATATTGCTGGGAGTGGGAGGAAAAACAAAACCAAGGAAAGTGTCTTGCTGATAATTCTGGGAGTTTTCCTGCTGGTGGCAGTGCCAGAGTTGACAGTGCCACGTAGTTGAAGCTTCCCAGAAAGGAAGAGTAACCTGGTGTCCTCCTCTTCAGATCTACTGGCAGAATCTCAGCTGGTTTGTCAGAGCAGGATTATAGAATCATTTAGGTTGGAAAAGACCTTTAAGATCATTAGGTCCAACCTAACGAGCATAGTGGGAATTGCTGTTATGGTCAATCTCTCTGAATTTACTTTATAAAAGCAACTCAGAGGTCCAGGGAACAAGAAGTGGATGTTTACATGTAAATGTAATTGCCTCCAAAACCCAAATCAGTAGTAGAGATGTAGCCTGCCCTTTGTTTAGTGAAGATGGAGCTGCTTCTGTGGTTTCATTTGCTCTCCACGCTGGTAAATCAAGTGGAAGTACATTCACAGTGGAACTAGCTCTGCTAATGTGTGAGTTCTCTTAGTCAACGAGAGCAACTTTGAAACAGGACTCAGTTCATGGCCAGAGCTGCAACTGTGAATAACACTGTGAGCAATGGGGTGAAGAAGCAGTAGCTAAAATTCATACTGAACGTGTAAAATGTGTCTTTACAATATATTGAAATAAGGTGGAAGTAAAATAGTGAGATCTGCACTAAGTACTAAGTTAAAAGAAGGTTGGACAGAACTAGTTGCTGTATGGAACAGAAACCAGGTTTCCATAGGAAGTAACTGTGCTGGGGCCAACCCACAGGAGAAGAAATATGACCATGGAAAGCAAAAATTGCCTAAAGACACCCAAATCTCCTACTGCTAAATGATCTACAATTAAACATCTTGTTTTCAAATACAGAGCAGCTGTCCACCAGCTGAACCTGCTGCTGATCAAAGTTGATCAAAGAATTTGTAGGATTATGTATTACAAACAATCTACAGGGAAAAAAAAAAAAGCAATAGTCCCTGCTTATGGCATGCTTATCAGAGTCCATTGAAGTAAAACAGGACTTTTTGTTGTTTTTAATGCAAATCTGATAAGCTCTGTGGAATGTAAATCAGTTCATTAAAATTTGTAAAGCACTCAAATGAAGGAAGAGAGAAAACAGTTTAACTTCCGTGGGATATTTACTGCGTGTAGAATACAATAAAATCACAATTATTCAGACAAAAAAAAATACTGTTAAAATATGCTGTACTCAGTGAGTTCTGGAGAAGGCTTAAAATCTTGAAATTGTGATTTTAGAAAAGCCACTGGTCTGACTCTAGAAATCTGACTGTACTGCTGTGTAATTTTGTCTGTCTGATCTGCATACCGTATGCTGTGTTTGTGCAAAATATATATACAAGTCTGTATCTATATGTGTATATTTTAACCCAGGGGTCAAAATAAATATTGAGCAGCTCCTTTGTAGAATGCTGCCTAAGCTGGGGGTATGTCAGGAAAAAAAAAGGAGTAAATGCTAATAAAAAAAGAGGCAGAGGTGTGACCCACGATGTCTTCTGACATGATGCTTCACTTGCTGGTATTAACTCCAGTATCTCTGGCATTGCCTCCTTTTTGTTGTGTCTCCTAGTACAGTATTCTGAATGCTGAGGTGGTGCTGCAAATGCTGGGATAATATTCAGTATCTGAGACATTTGGGAAGTTCTGTCCACTTGTGTGGATGTGAGCACGGGCTGATGGTACCTGATGCATAGACAGGTTTACATAAAATTGGCTGCCTCTGTGTTACCTCTGTAAAAGTGATGCAGAAAGCAGCAGTTGACACCTTTTAGCAAAGCTGCTTTGGAGCCTTCATGCTCGTGATTTCTGAAAAAAAACTTCTTGGTTTTTCCCCCTCTTGCAGTTACTTCAACGAGAATCAATATCCAGACGAGGCAAAGCGAGAAGAAATTGCCAACGCCTGTAATGCAGTTATACAAAAGCCAGGTGAGGAGCTGCTCACGGTGTCCTTTCCAGAGGCAACTGCAATTAGATTTCAACATCTCCTGCTATATTCAGCCCATCTCATTTTATGGCTATTACTAACAAATGTAGTGCTCTCAACTAGTAGTAGGTTTCTTCTTGAGCGTGCTATAACTGGCGTTGTGCAGAGCTGCCGGCCGGGGATGAACGTGACAGTCAATGCAGTTTTCAAACCTAAATGCCAGCATCTGCAACTTAAATTCCCCCCATTTGAGATAAGAAGTCCAAGCTGTGCATCTAAACATTTCATTTATGTAGCTTTGTAAATGGCAGTGTTGAGAAAATAAACATCTGAGAAGTTTTCACTCTTTACGCTCAGTTATTTCGAGGGATTTATTCAAGCACTTAGTAGTGATCTGAGAATTTTATTACACACCACAAAAGTGGAGTAGTGATCTCAGTAGTGCTTTGGGGCTCAGGAGTGATCTGGGAATTTTATTATTCTCCACAAAAGTGGAGTAGTGATCTCAGTAGTGCTTTGGGGCTCAGGAGTGATCTGGGAATTTTATTATGCTCCACAAAAGTGGGTTTTACTGGTTCTTAGGTTCACAGACTGAGCCTTGCTGGAGATCACACAGAAGGTGCTCAGAGGAGTAAGGAGCACAGCTTTCCTGGCTTTCAGTTTTCATTACAACTCCTAGACAGTGTCCCATGGTAGAATCTGTGTATTAATGGAGGACCTTGTATTTGGGTCAAAAAGTTGCACTTCCCCTGCTCCCAGAGTAGTCCTACTATTTACATAGTTTTCAGAACTTGTATTTTTGATATATTTGGATTTTACATAAGCAGAATAAAAATCAATGCTAAGGAAAGCTAAGGCATGACTCCTGGACATTGGAGCAGCACAGAATCATACAGCAGTGTAGGCTGGAGGTGACCTCTGAAGGTCATCTAGTCAGGCAGGACCAGCTTAAATTAGGTTACTCAGAGCTTTACCTCATTCAGTTTTGAATCTCCAGAACTGGAGGTTTTTCCACTTCTGGAAAACTTGGGCCCCTGTTCCACCATGTTGAGCACTTTCGTGGCAAAATGCTTCTTCCTAACACCAAGGCCAAATTTCCCTTATTGCAGCTTTCATGTGTTGCCTCTTGTATTTTGGTTGTGGCAGCAGAATGATGTGGTGGGTAGAGAGCACTGAGGAGGTCAAGATTTTATTCCTGGCTGTGCTGCTGGTTGGTTTAGCAACTTGGAACAGACTCCTTAAACACTGCCTCAGGATTGGCAAAATCTTGTGACACTGATGCAGAGCATTCAGAAACAGCATAGTTATTTCCAGATTTTTCTTTCTTTCACTTGTCTCATCTCTCCCTACTTAAATTTGGGAATTGCTGCAGTTACATGTATGCCTTGTATGCTGAGCAAATACATTTTGAGAAGCAGGCTGAAGCAGGGGAGTCTCATCCCCACGCAGCCTGCCAAGGGCTGAGGATGCAGCTACATTGAATGGGGCCAGGGCCAGCTGAAGAGGTTTCCATGCTCTCCCTGCAATGCTGGATTCCTCCAGTCTTCCCTCTTTTACATTGGTGATCAGGAGAATGGATTGCCTCCTGTAGCTGGCTGCTGGTGGTTGGGATTTTATTTAAGAGCAAACCTCCAGTGATCTGGTTTCCAACATCCCTCCCTTGTCCCGGAAGAACACAAGTGTCCTGGCACAGTTTGGAGGGGGGGATTAGTGCTGTGGGAGCACGACAGCAGCTGGTGGTGGAGAGGGAGGAAAGCAGATTGGAGGGGACAGCACAAAATCTCTTCATTCATTTTGCTGCTGAAGAAAATACATCACTGAACTGTGGCCTCACAGCACATGGTAAAAGAACTAGCCCAAGGGTAGGCAATTTGCAGCAGGGCTGTGAATTGATTGGAGGTTTTTGAATCTCAGTTTTGTGCTTGAACTGGAAAAGCAGCCCTCTATCCTCCCACAGCTCTGGATTTAGTTGATTGAAGCTGCAAAGAAATTCCTGTATTTCAGAGTTTTTTTAAAAAATGAAGAAAGGCTACTTTGTTTTTGGAGAGATATTTGGCATTTATTACCACAGCATCTGGGCACAGTACTTTGATTCACATAAAATTCACTCTATTCTCAGTTATAATCACTTTTTAGTGCTGTCTATATTTCAGAGGTTTATCACATGTAAGGGTCTTTTGCTGACCTCTGGAACCCAGTGAGTAACAATGCTATGATTTTTTTTTCCACTCTGTCATTCTCATAGGAAAAAAGTTGTCAGATTTGGAGCGAGTCACCTCCCTTAAAGTGTACAATTGGTTTGCCAACAGGAGAAAGGAAATCAAGAGAAGAGCCAATATTGGTAATGTATCAGAGCACCTGCATTCATGGTGTAGTATGTACACTTGCTCAAGAGAGAAATTATGTGAGACTGTGTCAGTGAAGGTACAAGAGGTTCTGACATCCTTAACAGAAACGTGGAGCACTTTTTAAAATTAGTCCTGTGCTGTTATAGATTTTTTCTGAAATATGAGTAGGAATTTAATTTATGAAATTCCATCATCGATGCAGGAAAAAATGGTGCAGTTATGAAGTTTTACTAGAAGATCAGTTTTTAAAACCAAAGTGAGAATTCTGTGGGTAGAAGGAGAATTGTATTTCCCTACGCTCAGGCTCCTTAATGTATCCAAAATAAAATCTGAAATAAAACCTCAGAATATCTGCATTGGAAATCAGGGAAGCTGGGACAATTGCAAGTTCACAACCTTCACATGGTGTTTAAATGAAAAGTGGCTGTTTTGAAGAGCTTTTATCTGCTTGTAAGTTCTCTTGTGTCTGTGTAGCACTGAAATGTGCTTTATTTTTTCAGCCACAATCTGAGGGTTTTTTTTCTTGCTGCCATCCCTTGAGACCCCACAGGGATCTGAGTCCAGATGAGTTGTTTTACATCTCAGATACAGCCACTAGGACCAGAGAGTTTCTGCAAACCAGCTGGTTGTTCTGGCTACACCTGTGCTCCTTAGTGCTTTCCAGGGGGTTGCACAGGGACAAGTGCCTGGAACCAAGTCATCATTTTTCTTGATGATCAGGATAAACCAAAAATCACTTTAGAGTTAGCCCTGCAAGTTCTTTGTGTGAGCAGCTGATGATGAGGAAATCAGAAGTGGCTCTGAACTTGTAAGAAGTAGATCTTCTAATGTGAATAAACGTAAGGCATGGTAATGAAGTTAAACTCTCATTAGTGGCTGGGATTCAAGAAGCTTCTGCAGCGCAGGCAAAATTTGATGTGCTTACTTTTAGGTATTGTGCAGAATTGCATCCACAATACATGGACAAACAGAGATCCCTACCTGCTTATTAACCAGCAATTTTGCAAATGTTGAGTGTCCTTTTGCTGACTTGCTTGGTTTTGCTGTATTTGTGAATAAGAAGAACATCTTTTTATGTGTCACTGAAATGTAACCTAGATTTATTTTTCTGAAGGGTGTGAGACACAAAGCAAAGTCAGTCTGAGGCAGGTGGAGTTACAGCAATGTCTGTACTGCATGGGGAAGGGGGTTGGGAGGTACTAAAAAGGCCAGTGAGGTCTTCAGGCGTCTGGACCCTACTGGTAGATGAAGATGTGTGTGATTTTAAATCCCTTAAGTGCTTTAAAAATTTCTCCCGTCTATTTTCAGACACTCCCTGCTCCCCTCAAGTCCTGCTAGTCCAGACTATGTGGGGAGATCTACAGGGAGTGCCTTTGCCACTCCAGTGCATTAGAAATGAAGCTAATTTCTAATAAGACAGGCTGGAGAACCAGGATTCTTACAAACAAGTCTGTTAGTAGGCAGGGAAGGATTTCAGTCAAACCAGTATCTGTACATGTGCTACTTTCCCAAATACTGGAGAATGAAGAAGAGCTAAGAGCTAACTCTTTTCTTCCAGTTATTCTAACTTCTTGGAAAAAAGAAACAAGTTACTTTTAATTACTCTAATGCATCAGATAAATTAGGGATCCATTTGCTTTTTTCGAAGAAGCAGCAATCCTGGAGAGCCATGGAATAGATGTACAGAGTCCAGGAGGTCATTCCAACAGCGACGACGTTGATGGCAATGACTACTCAGAGCAGGTAAGAACCATGGCTGAGCCACGGGGCCCAAAAAGGGAGAGTCCCCGTGACACGTGAAGAGACCCTCTGCCTCTCACAGATCAGAGGTCTCTTGCTTTCCTTCTGCTTTTATGTAATAGCTCCCCTGTTTGAATGTATTGAGCAACCAGTGTTCACCCACGTGGATTTATTGTCATACAACAGGACACTTGGCAAGTACGCAATGGGGAGGAGGAGGGAAGATGTTCAGAGGGAGGCAGAGAAGCAGAGAAGGTAGAAGAAGACAGGAGGATCTGCTCCAAACAAGCAAGTTACACCATTCACGCCACACGCAATGTATGAAATGTGTTAGGAGAGTGTTGCCTCACCCAGTGCATAACTCGTGCTCTCCTTACCCCTGGCACCATTCTAGTTACCTGCCCTTCAGAAGGGATGCCCAGGTCTTTTAATGGTTGCTCCTATATATCAGGCAACAGCATTTCCCTGCAAAACTAGGCATGTGTGGTCCCCTGGCACCTTTCTTTCTCCAAGAAGTGTCTCCAGCGTAGCCTGTGCTATAATGTGAGCTGCTTGCCTGGCACCCAGACCAGCACTGCAGAGAGCCCCTGCCCAGGGCACTTGAGAGTCCCTTTGGTCAGCCCTGCCCAGCAGGATACTGAGCACCCTCCTGGAAGGTGCTGAGCTCCCTCTGTTTGCCTGGGGCAGTACCTTTCAGGAGCAGCTCAGGATCTGTCCCTAAGACACTGACAGACAAAGGGTTGAAGGGTGGGGGGAGAGGATTTGATTTAAATGAAGTTGTCCATTTATTTGGCCCCTGTTCCGTATTGTTCTGCAGTGATGTGCCACTATTTGGAGTGTTTACATATTATCTGTCTTTTTTTTTTTTTCTTTTTGCATTTTAACTCTTGCCTATTCTCTATTTTTCTTGGTTATTTTTAACCCTTGACAGCAACTTCTTTTTTAAATTCTCTAGCAAAAGAATACCCCTTCCCGCACTCTGAGCCCTCACCTACCCTAAAGTTGGTGACCCTTCCTTCACACACCTTCCTGACAGGTATTGCATCCCCTTCCCAATTTTCCTTCAGGTGTCAGTGTTGGCCAGACCCCTTCAGGGCTGTGTGTGTTCAGCAGTGAGCAGTCCCCTGCCTTGGTTCTGGTTGTGGGCTGAGCTGTGTTCTGTGCTGCACCCAGCGGCTGGGGTGGGCAGATGATTTGGGAGAAGTAGGTAGGTCTCTCCCTACAAAGGCTGCTGGTGCAGTCTGATAGCAACTGCCTGTCCTGGAATGAGTCCCAAGAATATTTGGCTGGGGCCCAGTGTGACAGATCTCTGGCAGAGGCATTCCCAGCCGCTCTGCTGCTGATGGGTATTAAGGCCCTTTTTATAGGTCATCACCAGCAGATTTGGTGGAACCAACTTTGCTTGCTCTCCGTGATGAGAGGCTGCTCTGTGACTGTCAGGAGCAGATAATTAATTCCTCCTCAGTCAGAGGCAGAACCTGAATATTGAGACCGAGTGTTACATAGACTCCCAAACTATGATTTTCTTCTGTGCGTTATCCAAAATACTTTGAAAAGAGAAATAAATTGCCTGGTAAAATTTAAAGATCTTTGTTTAGAGTCCTTAAAAATTGCATTTCTCAGTCATCTAACTGGGCTCCTCACTGAAGTGTAATTAGGCATTAGCAGCAAAGAGGATTAAATGGCAAACTCTCCTGATGACCATTTAACATCCCTTGGCTGTTAAAAAACATGAATTTTCTTTTCCACACTGAGACTTAAATTCTAGTAAACTTTAAAACACAAAGTTCAGTCCAAATACTAATGAAATGCCTAAAGCTCCAGTAGTTAAGATTTTGTCTTTCTATTTCTTACCATGGTAAAGGTGACTGAGAGGCCCTTAGTGTGTGCCCATCACAATATTTGTTGTAAATGAATGCATTCCTTTAAATAACCTTAGGATTTGATCAAATCCTGGCTTTTCTGTCCCCATCAGCATTTGCCACCTGGCAATTTAAAAATTCATAATACACATTTTAAATACTAATTTTCAGAAGTTCATCAGTTAAAGGCTGTTGGAAGACTGATAAATGTTTATAAGTTCTTTTCTGTAAATAATAATAATTTTTAAAACTGCCAAGTCATGGTGTGGTAACTGTTAGTATCCCAGATTTTTAAGTCTGCTATTGTATGGCCATTATGCACCTGTAGAAGGTCCCCCAAAATCCTTGCACTTCTCCAAGTCATGGTGTGGTAACTGTTAGTACCCCAGATTTTTAGGTCTGCTATTGTATGGCTGTTATGCACCTGTAGAAGGCCCCCCAAAATCCTTGCACTTCCGTTTTTCATGGTCCCAAAAAAAGGCTTTTTTTGTAACCATCTGGGAGGTTTTCACCATTTTTTTCCCTATATCTGTGTGAATTTAGTGTCTTCAGAGGATACTGGCTCAGACCAATAGTTTACACTAGGTTTGTGTCCTGTTTTAGAGTGAGGTCAATGGTATTATTTAAGAAAAAAGTATTTTTAAAGAACAGGACGATTATAGAATTAATTTGCTAGAGTAGCTTCCAGCTTCTGGAAGTTCTGAGAGGCTGGCAGAGGCCCCACTTCCATTTTTCATAGTCCCTAGTAGACCAATTTCCCCTGATCTTGTCTAACCCCACCTTTGAAAGCCATTTTTTTTGTTGGCTGATCCAAGAATCAGTGAATCTACAACTGAACTGTGATGAGTTAAGCAGGGCTTCCTGTTGCTGCCTTGGAATATATTATCTCATCATTCCAATGAGTGCTCCTTGCTTATTAGATCACGAGAAGCCACAAAGAATTGCTCTCTATTTAGTAATTATTTCTAATAAACATTTACCATATCAACCATCAGCCGTTTCTTTTCCAGACCGAAGAACATGAGTCTATTCAGCCTCTCCTCATAAGGAACCCACCACTCCTTCCCCTCTCTTCCCCTGGGTTGCCATTCTCTCTGCTTTTTCTAGTTCTTTTGTGTCCTTTTTCAATGGGTTGACCAGATCTGTATATTCAAAATGTAAGGGTAGCATGAATCTGTGCAGTGCATAATGGTTCCTGCCAGAGTTTGCTTTCCTGACATACCTCGTGTATCACTTTTATCTTTCTAATTTAATATTTTCCTCCAAATATCTCCCCTCCCCCCCTCAAATTTCTCTCTCAAAAATTGAGCACGTCACTGCTTGCCTTGCTTACCTTTGTCTGCACAGTGAGGGAGATCAATCCTAAACCAGTTGTGTCCCTTCTTTCACTCTCTGTCCCTGTAAGGAACGTGCCATTCTCTGCCCCTAGCCCTCACACGCTAGCTGTGTCCCCTGCTCTTCTGCTCGTGGAGTAACAGTGCTTCTCTCTTCTCCTTTCCACATGCACAGGATGACAGCACTAGCCATAGTGACCACCAAGACCCCATTTCACTAGCCGTGGAAATGGCAGCGGTAAACCACACCATCCTGGCACTGGCCCGGCAAGGAGCCAACGAGATCAAGACAGAGGCTCTAGACGACGACTGATACAAAGAAAGGGGAGGGTCAAAGCAAGAAGTAACTTAGTTTTAGACGTAGCACCTTAGCAGACTTTCCTCAGTCCTTAATATGTGTTCTTACAGTATAACTTTGCAGTTTCTTGTACGTCAGTTAGCTGTTAGGGTCTTGTTCTGTGAAGATGGCATGGTGCCCTCAGCCTTTGCATATACTCTCTCAGTATTAATTCCCAATAAATAATCAATCAACCAATCAACCTCCCTCTCCCAGCCCCAGTGGCTAGAAAAATCTTGCTGCTCTGTCTTAGCATTCAAAGTGCTTCCAGGTATTTTAGACAGCCCTCAATTACCAGTCTTAGGCTACACTTAAAATCTTGGATACCCTTAGAGATTGTGTTTAAAAAAAAAAAAAAAAATTAGTCTGTATGCTTTTCCTTCTCTGAGACTGAAAGGATGCAAGCTGAGGTAGTGGCACAGGGTCGATGGACACCAGATCATGTACCAACAGAGAGTAAAAAGAACACTAGAAACCCCACTTCAGCCTGGGAATGCACCATTTCCAGCTGCAATAAGCCGTGCCTCACTGGTCATACAGTGACTCGATATCCTTTTGGGTGCTGTGCTGAGAGTGTCCATTGGAAACACCTTCACGTGCTGGGGTTGCTGTTCACATGTTCAACACAGACATCCTCTGCTCTCACAAGCTGCGTGGCTTGGTGGATGAGTGCTGCCTTCTGCCTCTGGGACCATCACTGAAGCCCAGCCTGGAATCGTGTGAAAAATGAGCTGAATGTCTAATGGACAGCAGTCCACTTCTCAAACCACTGTTCGTTTTTGGCATGGCTAGCAGTGCCTGCTCAGAAGAGGTCTAGACTCTCTTGATCTGTCATTAACAATCCCACCTTTTACTCTTCCTCTCGCCTTCTCTCTCCCCACCCTACTCCCCTCTCCACTTTGCCACTTTCAAAAGCAATGTTTTCCAGGAAGGTTATTAAGGTCATAAAATGGGTGAGTGGATTTTTACCCATCTGTGTAACTAACACCTATGTCCTGACTAGCCTGAAAGGTTATCGGAGAACTTCTGCATCTGACCTTTGCTAGGTAACCATCATAGCATAAATATTCTCCTAAACACCAACTTTTTTTGTTTGTTTAAAGGCAGGAGGATCTCTTACCTGAGAAATGGGGTGTGAATGTTTTGTGTTCTCTTTACTCTGTCCTTGTTAAGATGTGAGAAAGCTATACTGCTACGAGCAATTTAATTAACTAATTGGAAGCCATACTGATAATGGATGTGGTAATATTTGTAAAGCAAACCTACTTTAAGTAGCAGAAACTAATGGAATTGTTTTCCTTGATCATATGTAGCACTTTTGTTACTTTTTTCTTAAAGATATTTATATTTGATAAGTCTTTTTTTTATCATTTGAGAATTCAAAATACCAAACGGCAAACTTGCATTTCAGAGTCACCCTGCGATCACCTTGTCATCTAGTATCTAAATGATGAACTGTGTGTGCATCTAAGGAAATTACATCTGCTGGCATTGTGTGGAAATGATCTCCTGGCATCCTGATAAAATGATATGTTGCTGCTGGTAAGAGGAAACATTTCGATGGAAACAGCACGGGAAGTGTTAGCGACGGGCAGGACTGTGGTACAGGGAAAATAACAATTAAAAAAACCTATGTAAATTTCTGTATCTAGGTATAGAAAAATTTGCATAGCGTTTCCTCAACATTCCATTTTTATCTTCCCAGTTTATGTGGGAATAGCTTCAAAAATGGGAGAACAACTTAGGCTGAAGGATGGTTTCCCTTCTCTCCCCTCCACCTTGGAGGTGGAGGGAATGAAGGGAAGTTGCTGTTACTTGTTCTCATCCCTGGGTGGCTTTGTGAACTCCTAAAATGTGGCTCCTCAGCAGGTTTCTAGCCAGCCTAAACCCCTTCAAGGCATAGGCTAACTAGATCACGTTCACCTCTGTTAATCTTGTGAAAATTGCTTGGGTAAGTGTGGAGGAGATTTTGTGCTTTCGGAGGGCACACGGCTGGCACCTCTTTGTCTCTGTAACTTTGAAGATGTATAGGTAGGGCTTGGCCTCGTCTTTCATTTATGGATTTCATTGGGAAATTTATGTGCTTTCCTTAGATATAGATCACTGGAGCAGAATGAAGCCGTCTCTTTTTTTTTCTGTTTTATTGCATTTCTTGAGTAGGCAAATTCATAAGTAGCATCAGAGCAGACTCAGGAAAGAAAGGAATTGGATGAGCAACCATTGCAGGTTTTTCCCTTGACGTGTGTGTGGATGCTTTGGTACTGAGGAGTGAAAGGACGTGGAGAGCTTTTATTTCTGTTTTTTGCACAGCAGAAGGACGGAGCAAACTGTAGCCTTAGTGGAGTTTTACATATTTATTCATTCCACAGTCACACAGCGAGCTGACAAGCAGCATCCACGATTTATAGTAAGGAGATTTTAATAATCGATGACCTCTTTACATTGGGCCTGCCACCACCATTTGTTCTGGCTGTTTCATTTTAAAAGGAACAGACTCAAACTGTTGGACAGCTGCAATTTGAAAAGAAATATTACTTACTATAGCATCTTAAAAAAAAAAAAAGGGCGTTGTTTCAAGCATCACCTTTTTAAAGCAGTGGGGAAGAATGAAAATAGTACTAGCATTTCTAGATCCTGATTATAGGCTCATGTGATGCAGGATTAAAGTAACGCCACTGAAATTGTTATGTCTATGCCATCTAATGTAGAATAATCTGGGTTTAATTCTGCTTGTCACTGTCGGGTAGCTGCTGGTCTCATCGTGCATCAATATCCTATTCTGAAGGTTAAACAGTTAAACCCCTTGTGAACAACTGGAGATTGGCAGATCTTCGTTGTCTGCAGTTTCCTGGTAAATACCATCTTCTCACCAGAGAAAATAACAAATGACTAAACTAGGGAATCAGTTCCATGGTGTCAGTTTTGGGGTTGCCTTTGTCTGTTTTGGCTTTTCTTTGACCGTCGAGTGAGGTTTCAGCTGTCATCAGGATGCTCAGGAGAGCCTCGTTTTCCTTTATGCTGAAACTTCATCATGAACAATTTGCAGTTGGCTAATAACGTTTTGGTTGGACAGTGATTAGCTAAAATGGACCAGATGCTGGTGTGATGTCAGGAGAGGTGTATGTGACCTGGAGTAAGTGAAAGAATTGGTGGCGAGTGTGTCCTGGAATTTCACTTTGGTTCTAGGGGAGTTTCGTGCTGTGTGGGAGTCTTCTTTGTCTTTCTCTCTCTGGATTTTCTTTAAATTTATGCCTTGTTTTTGTAGCATTGCAACTCAAGTTGCAATTTATTGTAGCCAATCTGGAATTACTGCAGTTTGTTCTCATGTGAGTTCCATTGAAGTGGATCTGGTTGGCAGACTAGATCTACTTTTTTGTTCTGTGAATAGAGAAGAAATTATTTCAGATGCTTCTCTTCTGTGATGGGCACAGATTACTTTGAACTTCATACAGTAAGTTCTGACTGTTATTTTGTCACTCGTAAAGTCCTTATACTTGAGTTGTTGTCTCTTACAGTCTTCTTAAAACAACAATTTCTACCTCCACTTCTTTTTTTGGGTTGTTTTGGGGTCTTTGCTATTGTTTTGGGTTTTTTTTATTAATTCCCCCACCTTTTTCCTGAAGTATGAGATCCCAGATACTTGCAAAAGCTTTTTGGGATGTTGACAAAGCAACAAGTAGACACATTGCCCATTGCTGCTCTAGTATACTAAGAAACATCTTCTAAATACTCTGTAAACATAGTTCAAGTGTTATCCCATTCCTCATGTGCTGGATGTGGACAGGTTGGTTGTGAGTCAGCAGTGCACCCTTGCAGCAATTAAGGAATCTAATTAAGGAGAGCCTTCAGCAGGTCAGGGAAGGCAGTTGGTCCCCTCTGTCACTTGAAGGACCATGTCTGGAGAATCGTGTGCAGAGCTGGGCAGGAGCGAGGCCCTCCTGGGACTGCTGAGGTGAGAGGCTTGGAGCACCTGTCATGTGGTGAGAGTTTGAGAGCTGGATTTATTCAGACTGGCTCTAGGGGCATCTTCTCTTTTATTCTTCAGCTGTCTTCATGGGTGGGTTTAGGGAAGATGGAGCCAGGCTCTTCTCAGAGGTGCACAGCAAAAAAGTGAGGGGCAATGGGTTCAACTTGTGTTAAGGAAGATCCCAGTTGAATATAAAGAGAAATATTTTCCTCCTCGAGTGCTAGAACAGTGTCCCAGAAAGGCAGTAAAAGCCCCATCCTTGGGGATATTCAAAACTCAACTGGACATGGTTAGATAAGAGACCTCCAGAGGTCTCTTCTGACCTTCATTGTTCCATGATTCTGCTCAGGTTGAGGTGTTTCCAACTTCTGATTTATCCACGTTGACTTGTTTAAAGAAATTTTCTCGGTTTGTTGTTGTTTGGTTGTGTTTCTGTTTTGCTATTCATAAAGTTACCTTGTTCTACTAATAGAGGGGAGCTTTATTTGCAGGGTCTGGCTCCAGGCTCCAATCAAGCCATAAGTAATAAATTTCATTAATGATTTGCTCTGTTTACACAGTTCTTCAGGGATATTTGAATTATTCTGTTTGTTTCATTGCCTAATATCCGACTGGTAAGTTCTCCATGTTCTCATCACGTTTGTGCTGTAGATCAGGTTTTGCCTTTGTTGGTGAGGATTTATTGTTGTCTTGCTGCTGTGAGTAGAGGTGAAAAATTCCACAGAGCTGAATGTCTTAGAGGAAAACTTGTAGCTCACTGAAGCCCACTGGTGACTGAGCTAGAAATCTTTGGTTCAGTAAATCACTGATTGGTGGTTATCAGAAGCTGAAAGGGTATGACTGGGAAGGAGTCACATGATACTTGCTTGGATCCTCCTTTCCTTAACTGTTCACTGGTGGCCATTGCTAGGGAGGAAAACCCAACACACTTAGAGTTTAGGTCAGATTTGGGTGTTCCTTTGAAGAGAAATCACAGTGGTGTTTGCCAGCTTGGACTGGGACGAGGTCAGTTCAACTCCCGAGTGCTCATGTCTGCCCTCAAGGGGCAGAAGAACATTGAGGTGACTCCACCAAGACTTTGAGATCCATTATGTGCTCTAAAAATTTTCCTTCACAGTGAGATGCTGCTTGCAAAGAAGTGAAATGGAAGCACTCTTCTGGCCTTCTCCCAGAGCAGTTGAGTCACCAGGACTTGGTGGTTGTGATGGGGTTTCATAAGGGAACAGTTCTTGATTTTACCATGTAGATAAAACCAGCCAAATGGG